TCCTCCCTCTGCTGCAGGTTTCATAGTAGGTTTCCCCCCTTTCACCCATCTTCTATGTTAATTGCGAGGCACTAATTGACTCGGCCATAGCCAGAGGCAAATCTGACTTAGAGCCAGGAGATCTTCCAGCAGCTTCTCACAGGAGCCACCCCTGTACCCCCCTGCCTCGGGCTACCAAAACCCCGCCACACAAACCCAACTCAGCAGCCCAGCATTGGCCTGGATCCTGTGTGCCCAGTGCGAAAGCAGCAGCGGAAGGAGAGGCTAATTACAGATCTGTGCATGCTAATTGCACCTATGTGAACACCTGATGCAACACAGCCCTGGCTGCCAACGGGGCGGGGGCCGGCATCTCCTTCAGTCTGGGGTGGGAGTGGGGGATGGCAGGGCTCAGACCCCCATGGCACTGCTTGGATCTTGGTGATGGATACTGGGCCTTGGGAGGGGAAGGGCAGAGGAGCTACTGCAGCCCAAGTTGGGGGGGGAGTGGGGAGATGGGAAGCACTGGCACTACATGCCTGCTGCAGACCCAGCCAGGGAGCAGCAGGGAGGTGTTTTCCAATAATCTGATGCTCTGCAGGGTGAGGTTTGGGAATTAACCTCGATGTCAACAGGGATCTGTGACAAGCCTTGCAGCGGTGATAGGCATGGACCAGAACCAGCTCCTGGTGTCCCTACCAGCCAAGATTACCTTTGCCCAGGGTTGGGGTCCCTGTGGCCAGGAGAGGTGCCCAGAACATGGATGCTTTTGTGGGCGACAGATCTGATCGCATCAAGCTGTAGGCGTTGCAAAGGATTTTAACAGCCCAGGAGGGCACTTACCAGTAGTGACGCCAGGGTCCCCAGCGTTGACTCACCACCACTCTCCGCCCTTGGTGGGGTAGCCTACCTCCCACCTGAGCCAGTCCACCCTTGAGCCTCTGTACAGGGTAAGATACAGACAGCATCTTCTCCTGGGCCAGCCCCAAACACCCACGCGCTGCTCTGCGGATACACCTGATTCACCTGCCACGCTCCTCGGCATCCTGTGCACCACTCGCCCTGCTCCCGGGCACGCAGGCTGAGCTCCCCAGCATCCTCCCACTGAGGCAGCACGATGGAAGTGGTCCAGCTCCATGGGCTGCTGATCCTCCTCCCTTTGGCAGTCCTGCTGCTTTACTGGTACAATGCCACCTTCCGCTACTTCTGCAAACTGGCCTTCTTCAACTGCTGGATCGTGGCCATGGCCACCCTCCTGTCCCCCTTTGCGGCTCTTCGGGGACGCTCTGTGGAGAACATGAAGTGAGTATGGCCTGGGGGTGTGCTGCTGATGTGGAGATGGCTGGGGCTTGGCTGAGATGGAGGAGCTTGGGTGGTCTTGTGGACACACGCTCTCTCCTGGTCTGGGCACACCCACAGCTGTTATGGACAGTGCTTGAGTCCTGGGGCCAAAGCAAGGGCTGTGGTCATGTCCATGTGGCAATGAAGGGTGAATCTGCATCTTTTGGTGTGAAGAGGTGCTGGCCATACCCAGGGAGGGTTATTCCACGATGGAGGTGGCCAGCTGGGTCTGGACTAGTGGTCACTGGAGGATGAAGCAGTATAAAAGGGATCATTCTTGGCCATTGCAAAGTTGGGGTCATCAGTTAGGTGGGTGATAGAGGGAGTTTGGCAAAGGTTGGAGGTACAATCATTAACAGGATGCAAATGCACACTCATTGTCGTCTCCCTGGCAGTGCAGCCAGGTCTTGCTCAGTGGGAGCCCCGGGGACCGTGCTTTGGCAGAGGGATTGGTGATGTCTCAGTGCCATCAGCTGTCAGGCATGGCACAGTCATGTCCTGGCAAGTCATACGCTGGTGCTGTCAGCTGTGCTCAAGGGTGGTGGCAGCCTAGATAACATCGCTGTGCAACAGCAGAGGAAGGCCTGATTTCTTTCAAAGGTGTTGCAAGCTTGTTACTGGATTCCTGGGCATGATACCATAACAGAAAGGATATAATTATGTCAGAGTGAAAAATATTCAGTCTTGTGGTATGGCTGAGCTCGAGTCGTCACTATTTGTGCTGATGGATTTCAGGCCTGTGGCAGGAGTGTGGCCAGAGGTTTGATGTTATCAGGCTGTTGTGTAGCCCCTTTTCCTCATCCTTTCTGTGCAGAAATGCTGTGCCCACATGCACGCGTTGAGGTACTTTGAGCTCTTGTGCAAATGCCTCTGGCTCAGTAGAAATAACCCAGCGTGATGCGGCGGTGACTCATGCTGCCTTATCTTGTCCTGCTGACACCTCGCAGCCATCCTTCCGCGGAGCAGCACGCCCAGCTCCATCTCCTCTTCAGCCTTCAAATCCCAAAGCCTCAGGCTTGGCACGCATGCCTGTCATTAGTCCTGGCTTTGAGGCATTGCCACAGGTGCTTCTCTGCAAACACAAGGATCTCTGATCCTGTCTCTCCCAAGGGATGGGTGGTCTTCTGATAAAACAGACCGTCTAAGCATCGTCTCCTTCTCCCTCTGTGCCTGCCTCTGCTCTCTCCTCCCAGACTTTTCCTCCCTACCTGGTGCTGAGCTCTTGCTGACAGCCCCATCCCTTGCCCTGTCCCCTGTTGGCTCCTGGGACCAATTGCTGCCAGATATGTGGACCCTGGCCCTTCATGCTGGGGGTTGGAGAGTGCCTCATTTCAATGCTGAAAATTTACTGGCTTTTCATCTCCACTGTGGGTGGTGCAATCCCCGTTGCTCCATCCTCCCTCCATTCCTCATGTTAACCTCATTCTGAGTGCCACCCTTCCTCAGCACTGCCACCCTCGTTACCCTTCCTGACCACCTCTGGATGGTGATGCTACTCTGCCTTGTTCCCCTTCCATCTGCACAGAGGAAACCTCTGTCTCTTCCCATTGCTCCAGGTCCAGTGAGGATATTCTTTGTGATTTCGTCTAATGAGTGAAGCCGAGTTGGTTTTCCCTTCCCTGCTCTCTTCCCTCTCCACCTGCAGCACAAAGCTTGGTGCCTGCAGCCCTGCTTGGCAGGGACAGACCCTGGAGACATCTGAAACCCTGTAGACCTGTCTGTCTCAGGACTGTTCCTCTGCATGTCCATCTTCAGTGCTCACTCATCCACAGCTCTGCATCTCTCGGCTGGCATCCAGCTCCTCTGGCTTTGGGTATCTGCAGCACAGGATGCAAGCCTGGTGTCTGGGTTTCCAGCTGCACACACAGATCGAGCTGGGCCTCCAGGTTAGGTTCACCTGGCCAGAGGCAGTTGTCCTCATCGGGATGTGATGATTTATGCCTTGGCCTCAGGCAGACATCCCATCCCTTCTCTTCTTGCTTTCTCACCACCCCTGGACATCAAAAAAGCTGGGTTTTTTGTTTTTGCTGGCTGCTCTTCTTCATCAGCAGCTCCAATGCAGACCTTCTACTACTGAGGCAGCAACTGTTCTCACCCTGGGGATGGTTACAAGGTCAGCTCTGGGCTAGCCAGGCTACAAATATGCTTAGAAAAGCAAAGCATCACTGAGACTGAACAGAGATCGAACTTGGGACACACTATTTGCTCATGTAGACCAGATCTAGGCTGGCCTGTCTTGCTCCCTGAATGATTGTGAAGGGCTGGAAAAAATTAAGCACCCCCACTCTGTGTTGATTTGCTCCCACTTGTATTCCTCTGCCCTAGGCTCCTGCGTGCTGCGATCCTGCCCCTCAAACACTTCTATGGCATCAAGATGCAGGTGTGGGGCTCTGAGCACCTGAACATCAAAGAGCCCTATGTGATAGTTTGCAACCACCAAGCTTCCCTTGACCTCATGGGTACGTGAAAAAAAAACTTTGGGGTGCTGCAGGGGTGGGCTGGGCTCACCCAGCACCAGGATTTGTGCAGGGCAGTGTGGGCAGGCACAGGCCAGAAGAGCTGGTGGGACAGGAGCTCAGGGCTATGGGGGTGATGCAGAGAGGGTTGGGACAATGGAAGATGATGCCAGGACACCACAGCTTAGAGGGCTGGTTGGTTCTGGGTACTGTAGGGCAGGGATGGATCCTTTCCTCTCCCATCCTTCCTGCAGGCATGGTGGAGGTCATTCCTGACCGCTGCGTGCCCATCGCCAAGAAGGAGCTCATGTACTTGGGCACCGTGGGGTGGGCCTGCTGGCTCAGTGGCATCATCTTCATCGACCGCCATAAAAGAGAAGATGCAATCGATGTCATCTCCCGGACAGCCAGGATCATGCGTCGTGAAAATGTGAGGGGAGGCTGGCAGCAGCGGGAAGTCGGGGAACAAATGCTGGTGGGGCAAGGCAGGTGTGGGAGGACTGACATAGCAGGTCCCAGGGTGGTCTGGTCAGGGTCTCTGCTCACGTCTCTCCCTGTCCCATGCAGCTCCGAGTATTGATATTCCCTGAAGGCACCAGGAACCAGAACAAATCCATGCTGCCCTTCAAGCGTGGGGCTTTCCACTTAGCCGTGCAGGCTCAGGTAGGGCCATCCTCTCCCTCCCCTTGCCCTTGAAGGAGTGGGGCAGCGGGATGGAGGACATCAGGGTCTTTTGGGGTCTGCACCCTGCTGTAGAGGACCCAGGGAGGGGACAGGGACCTGCTGAAGCCTGGGGCATAGCAGAGTCCCACCTCAGGAGGGAGTTTGAGTGGAGGACACCAGTGTCCCTCTATCTTCTACAGGTTCCCATTTTTCCCATGGTGATCTCTCCATACTGGGACTTCTTCAGCTCCAAGGATAAGAAATTCACCTCTGGTAAGTGATGGACAATATGGCCCATTGCCAGAAGGCAGGCTGGCAGTGGGGATGAAGCATGTGGGGCTTGGAGGTCTCTTTGAAGGACATAGAGGTGTGAGGAGACAGCTGGAGGATGCTGGCAGGAAGATCTGGTTCCTGGTGGGTTCATCTAACAGCATCCCTGGCCTTTTCCTTCTCTCTCCAGGGATGTGCTCCATCCGAATCCTCCCCAAGGTAGAAACTCAGGGCCTGAGCCCAAAGGATGTCCCTGAGCTGACAGAGACTGTCCGCCAAGCCATGGCTGATGCCCTCGCCGAGATGTCTGCAAATCACTGTGGTGACCAGTGTGCCAGGCAGCCTCCGCTCCTGCGCTGTGCTAGGACTGGTGCTGGCAAGGGTGCAGACAGCCTGGAACATGAGGAGAACACAACTGGGGCCAGAAATTAAGCAAAAAGACCAAACTCCCTTGGAGATGTAAAGGATGTTGTCCCCTTGTCCCCTGTGGACATGTGCACCAGACCAGCCTCTGCCCCAGCAGCTTGCAAGAGCAGGATGGTGCCCCGGTGCGAGGGGAAGCTGAGCAGTCAGTGCAGGACAGGGACTGGGGAGCACCCCAAAAACAGTGCAAGGTGCCCCCAGAAACCCCTCGCTATGACTGCGTCCCCTCCTCAGGGGCGTTGCCTGTCTCCCCCAAGACTGGCGCTGTGTCTGGCCCCGACTAACAAGCCTGGATGGCTCCCGCCTGCGCTCTGGGTAGGGGATAGAGATGTTCCAGGCAGGGCTGGGGGTTTGCAGCACCATTTTCCACCCTGACAGTGTGACTCGCAGTGAGGTTCACCCACGGGTTTGCTAGGTGGCTTCTTCCAGAGGCTCCTGCAAGCTGGCAATGCTGCTCAGATGCAGACAACTCTGGGGAGGGGTCCAGAGTGCAGCATGTGGCTGGGGGACCCAGGCAGGAGGTCCAGGGGATATTGCCATGTGGGAAAAGCATCCTCGGTGTTGAATTATGAGATGAGGGTGCAAGATTAAAGAGTCCATACCTGGTGGTGTGTGTGTGTATGGTGTCCTGCCTGCACCTTGGGCGCTGAGAGGAAGGTCCATCTCCATATGGCTGTGTGAGGTGCCTGGATTCCTACAGACACCATGGCTTCTCCATGGGGTGCAGTGCTGGATGGTCTGAGTAGCACATGGCAAGGGTGAGTTACACTGGGGTGGACTAGGTCTGCCCCCAAGGCAAACACCTTTCTGCCCTGGGGATGAGCAATAAGTGTGTGGGAGGAGCATCAATAAAGCCCAGAAGACTTGGAGGGCAGAGGTGCCTGGATTATGCCCACCTGGAGCAGGAGGAACCTCCCTATGGCCTCTGGACCATGGCACAAACAGATCCATCCACCAGCTACCATCTCCCCTGGCCTGTTACCTGCAGCCAGGCAGGGCTTTGGGCATCTGCTGGCTCCTTCCCTGCCAAACAGCTCCCATCTCAGGCACCCCAGGGTGACAGCAGAGCAGGGAGAAGTGTGGTGCATGACTCTCCCATGCTGGGAATGGGGTGGACAGGCTTCACCTCCCACCTTCAGATGAGATGTGCAAACTGTCCCAAACAAGGGCACAGTGCTCTGGTTTGGCCTCATTCCAAAACGGGCTCATTCTGGACGAAATTCTGCAAACCCATGGAAATTGCCCAGCCAGACGGATACCACTGGGCAAAAATACTAGCAACACAAAAGAAGCTTCTCATGAGTAACAACTCACCAGACTGCAGCTGGCATGTGGATGTGGTCAAGGGCAGAATGCACGTGAAGGATCTCACTTCACAGAAAGGCCCTTTATTCCATTCCCCCCTGCCAGGGCTCCCTAAGGCAGCTTTGTCAGCTCTGAGCTGGTTCCATGGTCCCTCCACGTGCCCACCACCATGGGCACGTGGATTTGGCTGTCCAGAGCCTTGAACCTGGCAAAGCTTAGGTCGGGTGGTTAAATATTGTCCCAGCTGGATGGCTGCGTTCCAGCCAGAGCCCTCACTGGCTTCTGCTTGCTGGGAGCAGGGAGGCGAAAGCTTGAGGGGAGGAAGAAGACCCAGCACGGGGGCTCTGGGACGACCTTGCTTTCTTCGGTCTTCCAAGCATGGGGTCTGCAGCCACTCTGTCCTGCCTGCTGCTGTACACCCTGTGTCTCACAGCTGGAGCATCTGCAAAGCCGTAAGCCCTCTCTGTCTGCCTGTGCCTGGTGGGATGGTGGTTGGTCTCAAGTTGTGTGACAATCCTCGCTGTGACTGCGGCTGCTGGTTGGGATGGAAATGCTCGAGGTGGTGGGTTGTCCCCATGGAGGACTTAGCACCTGGGGTTGGTGTCTCTGGGCTGTTCTTGGGTAGGTGCAACCTTACACACAAGGCAAAGGGTGCGCAGAGCCTTTCCTCCCCCTGCAGACCAACCCCTCAGCTGTTTCCAGAAGTGTTTAGGCAAAGGGGGCTCCACTCCACTCTGCACACTGGCCAATGTCTCGGCAGATGGAGGGAAGGCTGGGTGGCATAGCCCTTCAGAACGCATCCAGGGCTGGAAAAAACCCAAGTGCCCCCTGCCTTGAGAATCTGGAGTAGAAGGGAACACTGGGGGTTTGTGGGGGGTCCCTGTTCTCCTCTACCATCGAGGTGTCTCCCCCCAGGCACTATGTGGTACTCTTCCCCTCCGTGCTGTACTACCCATACACAGGCAAAGTGCACGTCCACCTCATCGACCTGAATGAGCCTGTGCGGGTGACCCTGCACCTGGAAAGCAGCCACGGTGTGCCCAACATCACCCTGGACCAGCAGAGCAGTGGTATCCTCCAGCTCAACTGGCCCCACTTCTCCAATGTAAGTCACACCCTCACAGCAGGGGCATCCATCAGAAAGGGGATGCCTTAGGGGATGCCTAAACATCCATCAGGAAGAAGGGACCCACTGCCAGAGCCGTGCTTTGGGATCTGGGAGGGGACATGGGGCCCATCCTGGATGGGCAACAAGTGGAGGCACCCTGTGGGCTGTATCTGTGTCATCTTCCCGTACACACCAGTTCCCTGGTGCCTTCATGGGGCAATGGGGTGGTGACAATGAGGGACAAGTATGATAACTCCCTGGCATCCAACATAAAGGCTTTGCAACCCTTTCTGCTGTTTCCCTGTGGCAGGTTTCTGTCCCTTCTGAAGGCAAGTACGAGGTGGCACATCTTCACGTCTCCATCCAGGGAAGTTTCCTGCAGATCTCTCAGAAGAAAAAAGTACGGGTGAAAGCCCTGCAGCTGGGGACCTTGGTGCAAACAGACAAGAATGTCTACAACCCTGGACAAACTGGTGAGGGGCAGGAGCTTGCAGGCTCTTGGAATGGGATATCCAGGTTTGGGTCCCAGGCCCTAGAGCTCATGCCTGCTCCTGCCTTTGCTCTCTCCAGTGAAGTTTCGAATTGTCCGTTTGGATCAAAACTTCATTCCCAGCAACAGAAAGGTGAGACAGGATCAGGGCACAGGCTGGGGGGGGGTGTGTGGAGGCAATAGGATCCCTACGTGCCCAAGACAATTGGTATAGGTAGTAGGGGCCCAGCCTTCAGTGTCACCAATAGCATGGAGGAGATGGGTGAAGGGAGGGAATCCCCCAAACAGCGAAGGGTTGTGAGATGTGAGGGGCATACACAGCTCTTCCCAAGACTCCCAGCCTGAGTGCCCAGGGTACAGCCCCTTGGTTTTGTCACGGGCATGGGAGACAAATTAGTCCCTTTACAACCTCCCTTTGCTTGTCTTCTCTCGTGTGCGGCTTTCATGCACCTGTATAACACCCACTGGTCTACACCTGGACTGGTCACACCCACTGGTCTACACCTGACTCCTGGAGCCAGGCAGTGCAGGCAGGCCCAGTCACACAGCTAATGCTGTTTGCACAATGCAGCCTCGCTGCTTCCTACTGCTCGGAAAAAGCAGCGGGAGTCGGGCAATAACAGCAGCTCTGAGACCCCCAGACCAGCAACCAGCTCTGTAGGGGCAAAGCCAGATCCCACAGGCTCAAACCCCAGCTCAGCTCTCCGTGCCTTGGTCATGCTGTTAGCTCTCTCTTTCTTTGCAGCTTCCTTTGGTGTCCGTGCAGGTGAGTTGCCATCCTTGTGCCAGTCTGCCAGCTCCATCAGGAAGAGCAAAGGGCCCTAGCACATGTGTGGTGCTGGGACAAGGACTGGGGAAAGGGACAGGGACATCTCTGCTGTGAGTGTTGAGAGAAATTACAAGGAAGGGGATGAGGGGGTTGGGCTCCTAATCCACCCAGGGGAGGTCAGCTTGCTGTTTGTCTACAAGACAGGGACCCTCTGGGGCGATGCTGCTAAGAGGTTAAACAGATGAAAACAACAGTGGCTAATGCCACAGAGATTTTGAACTAAACTGGAGAATCCCCTAAGCTCCCAGTCCAGACTGGAGCTCAGCTAATACAGCCCTTGAAGGAAATTTTCATTCTGGAGAGGTGATGTCCTCAAGGCTGCTCTGAGCATGATGGCAGGGCAAAACCTCTGCTTCTTGTGAGGATACGCAAAGCGACTTGAGTCCTTGAGGCTGGACCCACAATCACTCACCCCCCTTCAGACCCATGAGCAAGGGCTGATGCCATGTGTCCCTGTGGCAGGATCCCCGTGAGAACCGCGTGGCGCAGTGGCAGGATGTGAGCCCTCGTCAGGGCATCGTGGACCTGTCCTTCCCACTGGCTGCAGAGCCGGCCCTGGGCATGTACACCATCGAGGTGGAGGGGAGGAGGCACTCCTTCAGTGTGAAGAGCTACGGTGCGTGGGGACAAAGGCTGGGCTCCACGCAGGGTGTTTGGGAGCCATTGCATGGGATGGCAAGAAACTCCCCAAGGAAGAAATGGGCACAACCCCACTGGTCTCCCCACAGGGCTGCCCCACTTTGAAGTGCTTATCCGGCTGCCACATGTCATAATGGGGAACGATGAGAAGATCCCAGTGGATGTCTGTGGGAGGTGAGTTGGAGAGCAGCCCTGGCAGCAAGGCTGGCTGCTCCCAGGGTGATGCTCCCCTGGCAGCCTGCCCATCCGCTCCCCTTCCTGCTCCCTCCCGACAGGTACCCATCTGGGAAAACTTTCCAGGGAAGGGCTGAGGCCAAGCTGTGCCACCTCCAAAAACCTATGATCTTCTCAGAGGCATCTGTGGTGATCTGTGCTAAGTTTAGGGGCCAGGTGAGGACAGCAGGAGGGGGAGAAGACACATGAGTGGTGGTCCTGGAAATGTTTCCCCATCTTGGGATGCCTGGACTGATGGCCAGGGTCACTGATGGCTGGGTGCATCCTTCCAGCATAGGTGATCCAGTTCTTGTGTGAAAGTGCTGCAAACCCAAAGTCATCCCAAAGATGACAAAGGGACTCTTGGGGTGGGCAGGAACGGGGCAGCAGCTTCATGGCAGAGAGCAGTACCAGCCCCGGGAGGGCATGTTTGCAGGATCCAAGGGTTGCAGGACAGGATGGAAGGAGGCAGCAGTAGTGGGGAGAGCAGAGCTCAAGGATGACACCAGATGACACTCAAGGACGTGGCCATGGGCCTGTTGCTAACATGGGCGACTCTCTCCTTCAGACAGGAAGGAATGGCTGCTTCTCTACTGAGGTGCCGCTGTCTTCCTTCAACCTGACCAGTTTCCACTACAGGAGTCAGCTTTATGCCTATGCATCGCTGCTGGAAGAGAGGACGGGTGAGCACAGCTGTGCTAATAGCCATCCGGTGATGTCCTGGGGTGGTGGCACCTGGATGATGTGGCACAACTGCTCTGCCGGGGTGTTCCCAGGGTCTTCATCCTTCCCATCCACAAGCATCAGACTCCCTGTGCTGTCACTTGCTTTGGTGTCATTTTTCCTCTACTTCCGACTGCTGGAGAAAACCCTTAGGTCCTGAAGTCTGATCAGGAGTTTCTTCCCCTTCCAGCATCCCACCCCCAGATATCCCACCGTCATCCACCTCTCCTTCCCCAGTCTGTGTCATTCTCTAGTTAGTGTGCTTGATTACTGCCTGGAAAACTACCAGGTTGATTGTGTTTTCCTTACTGGGTCTTTCTGTTTTGAATTTAGTTATGAACAGTCGCATTCTGCTGGGGGGGGGTTTAGATACATCCTTAGGGTCACGTAAAAAGCCCAATTTCAGCACAGCACAGCTGTGAGCAGCAGATCCTTGGTCTCTCCTATTTGCTTGCAGACATTAAGAGGGACATTTTTGGGTAAAGATGGGTATTTCGGTAGCACACAGATCTTGGCTGAGTGTGGTCCTGCTCACACTACAGCTCCCATCACACCTGAGGACCATTTTTTGTGTTTGTTGCCCAACAAGTGTGGGTGCTGTGCACGTTTGTCCCCTTACCTCCAGACTGGGTCCATGCACCAGCATGGTCTGGTAGCACTAAACAGGGAGGGGATGGGAGAGCAGCACCTGACCCAGCTGCTGCAGGGGGAATCACCACGACAAATTGTAGAGTGCCTCTCATCTTCTCTCTGCAGGGATACGGCATTTTGCCATCAAACGCGGTAATATTGTGCATGAAATAGCCACAATCACCTTTGAAAACACCAATAATTTCTACAAGCCTGGCA